TTGACCGATCGGAGCCGCGATCGATTCAAGGTTGACCGGTCGACGCGGCGTCAAAAAAGCCTCTGCGCGCGCGGACGCCGCACGAACCTGCCGTGTCCCTTCTCGGCCTCTTTGGGGCCGTCTTCGGGCCCCGGGACCGTCAAAAATGGATCTGGGGTGAGAAGCTCCAGCACGTGGGCCCAAGGCGTGGTCCGGGGAGCGATTTTGAGCGGCTTCGGCTTCACCCCCTTCTTGACCGATCTTCTCGGAGCCCTTCCACCTCAGAGCCCCCAGCCGCCTCCAACGCAAGGCCGCGCAACGGATGGCGCTGGGATTCCTCGCGACCTGCATCATGGTCGCCACGGTGCCGCTTCTTCGGGCGCAGGGCGTGGTGTCCTTCGTCGCTCTGCTGGTGTACCTGGCCGGCATGATGGTGGTGAAGCTGTGCGTCAGGGAGGTCTTCGATTCTGGGTACCCGTACCCGTACGCCACGACCGCCTTCCAGATGGCAGTGACCGGCCTTGTGGCCTCGTGCATCGAGCAGCCGACCGTGAGCGGAGCCAAGAGCTCCCTGAACATCGCCATGCTGAAGAGCGCCTCCCTGGCGCTGAGCAGCATGGCCCTCTCCGCCAGCACCCCTGCTGTGGTGTCGCTCGTCGGGGCTCTTCTCGAAGGAGGGCCAGTGGAGACCACGGCGGCTCTCCCGCCCGCCCCAGATCCGCCCCCTTGGCTTCCTCCATGAGCCCGCTCTGAAGCGCAACACGTAGCGTGCTGAAACGTCCGTGCCAACACGTTGCGTGCTGGCTCAGCGTACCGGCCCACGCCTTGGCGAACCTGTCGCGTCAGACCTCAGTCTGCGTGTTGAGCTCCGCATCAATGCGCTACGTGTTGCGTGTTGCGCCCTTCCTGTGCCCCGTCTCCTGAATGAAAGCTCCGCGTAGCCCGTCTAGCTTTTAGCGCAAGAGGTTCGCTCTCGCCCCGCCGAACAGAAACGTGCTGCGCGTTGCGTGTTTCGGGGCAGAGAAGATCCGCCATCCGCCTAGAATCGCTCCCCAGCCCGGACCCCCTTCTGGGGTCCATGCTGATTGGATCTCCGGGGCGGATCCGGCCGTGGCGACGAGCAGCTCCAGGGAGGCCCGCGAGGGCCGAAACGCGCGCGACGGCCGCCGTGGCCTCGACCGGCCCGCCTCCGATCTTCTCCCGGCGGCCACGCACGGCGTCGAGCTGCTCAGGCCCGGGGCGCCCAAAGGAGCGCTAAAAGCCACGAGGTCGCCCGCGCGGGCATCGGCGCTCCTCCTCCTCCTCCTCCACCTCGCTCCTCCTCCTCCTCCTCCTCCTCCTCCTCCTCCTCCTCCTCCTCCGCCTCCTCCTCCTCCTCCTCCTCCTCCGCCTCCGCCTCCTCCTCCTCCTCCTCCTCCTCCTCCTCGCTCCTCCTACGCTGCGCTCCGCCTCCGCCTCCGCCTCCTCCTCCTCCTCCTCCTCCTCCTCCTCCTCCTCCTCCTCCTCCTCCGCGTAAGGTCGCGCGCAAGCGCCCCCGCCTCCAGTGTAGCGTGCCGCGCTGGCGGCCCGCGTAAGCCGCCGAGTGAGGTCGCCATGTCCTCTCGCGCAAGGCCCGTTTGCGATCGTCGCTCAGATGGGGTCGGAGCAGGTGGGAGCGAAGGCTCGCGCCGCATCGCCGATGCACCGGCGGTGCGGCTCGCTGCGGAGCCCGACTTGCTCCACGCCAATATCGCCGACGCATCGCGCGATGCATTGGTCGGGGGTGGACAGAACCCCCCACCCTGACACGTCGATTAGTGACCTGTCCGTTTCCGCTTCTCGAGAGGGCGCCGCGGCCGTCACTTTCCAGGCCTGTGCCCGCCAGGTTTGGACCCGAGGTCGTTTTCACTGAACCACGCTTTACTCCTGCTCGGGACTCTTGCTTCCCCCATGCGGTGACCACCACCACCCCTCCCCCTCACACTCTCCTCCTCCTCCTCCTCCTCCTCCTCTCCTCCTCCTCCTCCTCCTCCTCATTCCTCCTCCTCCTCCTCCTCCTCCTCCTCCTCCTCCTCCTCCTCCTCGAGGAAGGGTTGGACAGAGGGGGTTCTGTCCAGCCCCGACTTGGCGACGCGGCGCGATCCTGCGGCCCCGCCCGCGCGGGCCCTGTGTGGGAGGCCTCCGTCAGGCGCCGCGGCGAGGCCACGGCCCCGGCGGGCGCTCGGCGTCCTGGCCAGCTGCGCGGGGGCGATGCTGTGCGTGCGGGGCGAGCTGTCGTGCACGCCCTGCGCCCTCCTGCTCGTCCTGGGCTCAGGGGATGATGGGCCTGGTTTCCACCACCACCACCATAAGCTGGAGGGGGAGGAGGTGGAGGAGGAGGAGGAGGAGGAGGAGGTGGAGGACCCCCTCCCCCTCCCCCCCTGCTTCTGGTGGTGGTGGTGGAAAACAGGCCCACCAAGAGGATGTTGCAAGCGCTGGGGGCGTTATTTTTGTTGTTCGTTTTCACGATCGACGTTTCTCAGTTTTTTGATCAGTTGTTTTC